GGTGGTGGGGAAAGTGTTTTTAACGTCTGTGTTTATCTCTCATTGTCCTACTCTGATTTATTTGCCAAGGTGAGTGTGTTTTGCCTGTGACCATAACTGGTGAGCGATCCCTCCCTGTCCTTCTCTCAGCCCATGAGCATTTCTTGGTATTTTTTTCCTCCCTGTCCCACCGGGAAGAGGAGCGAGCGAGTAGCTGTGTGGTGGTTAGTTGCCATCTGGGCCTAAACCACAACAAAGATTTGTGCTTTAGTGGCCTGTTGTAAACTTACCAGCTTTGTCAGTTGTTCAGAAGACTTTGTTCTCTAGCTTACTCTTCTGTACTGTTTTATTGGCTTTAGTTGTAAATTTTTCCACAGGTCTGTTGGAATTGTTTATTTTGCATATAGTTTTACTGATGAAAAAGTTTGAGACAGATTTTCAGGAGGATAGCTTTGTGATTGTTGCTTACCAGCAGTGATATCAAAACCACTCACTTGTTTAGACACCCCATGGGTGCTGTGGAGTTCCCAGACACCGACAGTAGCTAAGGCTGTCTAGCAGAGCTGTCATTCTTGAGGAGGAAAATCGAATTATATATCAAGGCAGAACAAAGCTTTCCTTCAAAGGATTGCTGTTTCTATGATCCACTATATCTGTAAAATATCAATTGTCACTTCTTGTGGTAACCTGATGCTCATTTGTCTGCTTTCGGCAAGTAAAAAAATAGGACTCGTGATTGCTAAGCAGATTATCTCAGTTGGTGATTGTGGCTGTTGAAGGACATATTTTTCCCTTTTTCAAACAGTAGGTTGTCCCAGAGCCTCAAAATTAATCTGTGTACTTGTTTTTGCTTTAGTGGGGGTGAGGGAAGAAGGAGCTTTTCCCATTTGATAAATCTGATGACTTTTATAGTATATTCTACTGATTATAAGAGGCTTATGGTTTAAGGTATCTTTCTTTTATTCATTGGGTTTATGACACTTTTCACCATCTTTGCTTGCACTTTTCAGGTCTCTGTCCTGTCACTTTAGTCCATTTCCTCTTTCCAGGTGTGACATTTTCCTGAAGAAATTACAGCTGTGTTTTTTCTTTCCTCTCACCTTGGTTTAAGACATGCAAGAATCATATGAAGAATAATTTTCCGGTTGTATTATGCACATTAGACACCTTACAGTTGATATTTTCATAAAGGTGATGCTGTGAGTGATTCAGTATGTTGTCAGAGTACAAATATGCAGGAAGCAAGGAGGTATATAGAAAATGTCTATTTAAACAGCTCTTGTGAACTAGGAAAAATTCCTTAAAGTCAAAGTACCTAAAAAGTCAAGTCAATAACTTTTTTAGTAGTTTGAGTTATGTAAAGACTCTCTTGGGCATAACTTTTTCTAAGTTAGCTCCTATTAATTTGGCTGAACTTGGACTCACTTTAGTAAAGAAATCAATTAAATACCCTTAGACTGATCTGTGGTGAGGGACTGGCCTGAGACTGAGCTCTCTGTGTTGTTACTGTTACTGCTGGTGGTGTTGATGTTATCATCATCATTGTATAAATGAGGGCATTTCTGAGGAAGAGTTTGGCATGCCAGTTGTGAACAATATCACTTGTTAAGGCAGTAGAAATGATGTCTTTCTGTGGTTTAGCTGCAGGTTTGATTCACTGCTGCCTTATGTTTATCAGTCTTTCCATGGGGGGGAGGGAGGGGCGTAACCCTCTGAAGTGTCTGGAAGTGAGAATGGAAGGAAAGCTGAATGATACTGTATTGTGTTAGCATAAGCAGTTTGTCTTCTGTTAATTCCTCAGAGGGACATCTGTCTTCCTCAGATTCCTCACAGCTACTGATTTTTAATGAATTCAGTCTAATGATTCCCTCAGTAACTTTAGTTACAGAGAGTTTCATGTATTTCTTTTGAATGTCAACTTGCTTAAAAAATAAGGGGTAATGCATTTTTAGCAAGATTTTTTTTTCCTTTTTAGCGTGATGTACGTCAGTCTATTACAAGTGAACAGATTTTTCATGATTTTTTAATGCAAAATTATTCTCAAAAGTAGAATTCTCAGTGTTCTAACAATTTTTTGTCAAATATCTTTTATGTGCTTCCCTGAAGTGAGGGCATATTGATCATTTTCCTGTAAGACTGGAAGGTATTGGTGGTCTTTTTAAAAATAAGAGCATCTGAGAATAAACTCAATGTTCTTCTCTTCAGTATTGCTTTTTAGGAAGGCTTTCTAAAGGCTGCAGTGTTTTGTTTGTAGAAATGCATCGCTCTGACTTGGCTGTTGACAAAAACTGGGTGTTGAACAGTGCGGAGCTAGAGTAGGACTCTCAAGATGTAAGTGATTTTTAGCCTTTGAATTCACTCTGCTTTCCTTCAGCTGTGGCAGCTCTTCCAGGCACCTGTGCTGAGCACAGAGCTCCCCTGGCTGTCCTCTAAGGTGGCAGTGGGAATAACAGATTGATGTGCAGGCATTTAGCAGAAAGGGGATTCCTTAATTCGCACAGATGGTACTAACTTAATACAGTTGTCCTCCACTGAGGCCTCAAATTTTTGTGGTATTAGGGGCAATAATGTATTTAGTTGAAGTGTTTTGTACCGTGAACTCAAGTTAAAAATCACTCAAAAACCCCTTTTAACTCTCAAAGACTTTGTATCCACACTTTCTCCTCAACTAAGGACAGCTTCATAAAGTTAAGATTTCTTTTTTGTGCCAAAGTCAGAGATCCTCATCGTTTTGCTCCCTCATTCTTCACAAAATTTCCTCCGTTCTCCTCACACTTCTAAACAGATTTTTAAAAACAAAAGGAGGGTAACTTACAGATTTTCAAAATAACCAAAGTAACGATTTTGAAGTTAGCATCATTTTGTCTTAAAATACACACAATTATTTTTGAGAGGGAGAGAACTGCACAGAACTTTTTGAGAAGCAAAACTCAGACATGTGACTATCCAAGTGTGGCAGTGCTGTCAGATGCTTAAATTGCTTTCTAGGAGAATTCATTTGAAGAAAAATCGGCTGCATTGCTTTTTTTCCTGCGGGCACGGTTTTCCTGCGTCACTGTTTCCATTGCTTGGTATTGTCTCAGTCGTCAGCTGTTCTGTGAGTTGTCGTGTTGAAAACCTCTGAGGACAATTTTAAGAACTTTTAACTTTGTCAAGCTCCTTTAACTTTGTCAGGCTCCTCAAAAGAAAAGCCCTTCTTCAGTGAGTCAGCAGTGGTTTGATACTGAGTGTACTTGGTATATCTTAACAAAAAAATAATCATACACTTGTTGTTTTCTTTCTTTCTTTCTTTCTTTTTTTTTTTGTCCAGAGACTCTGGATTCTCTTAGGTGCAAAGTTAAGCATTTCTGGAAGTTTCTGCAAGAGCAGGTTTTATTTCTGTGGTTTTGTTAGTTAAATAAATTACATTTATGGTGGTGTGGAACTAAGTCTATTAGAAGCTTTGAAAAAAGAAAAAATGCTTTTCAGTTACTACAAAACATTTTGAAAGTCATGAAAAAGCAGTAATATATTTAGTGTGCTTTCTAAATGATTGATTTCCCTTTTCTCATCTCAGAAATCTTCATATCTCTTCCTCATGTATTATATCTACATCTATATGAGGTAGCTGTTGGGTAACTAGATGAGAGGAAATAAAATGCAGACGCAGGAGTTTTAAATTAATTTTCTATGGAGTTAAAATGTTAGTGTCAAGATAAAAATGTAGTATGATGTATCGGTTTGTCTGAGTGGTGTTGACAGTCTATAATCACTTCTTGTGCCAGGTTGATCCTTGGGTATTTTAAGATTACTTCTTTTTTATGGCTGCTCTTTGTTACAGAAAACAGAGTCTGCAATGGAAATTTTTAAAGCAGCTGGAGTGCCACGAAAGCAGAAAGTTACAACATTTAATGTGACAGAGGATGCCCTAATTAAACCAGGTAATCTTTCAGAGCTAACGAATATTATACGCATAATCATTCAACGTCCACCGCTTGTAGACCTAAACCAAGTTATGATGGGTATTTCAGTTTAGTTTTCTGTGGAAATTGCTGAATTCTTGCTTCTTTGTCATTGAGCACGAACAAACTTTTTTCTTAGGGAAAGCTAGAAAGTGAGCTTTACTTTCTAGGTGATGAGAAGTAGGATTTTTTCCTGGATATTGTGTTTCCATGGATTAGAAAGTAAGCTTGATCCAAACTAGCTAAAATGAAGACTGAGTTAAGGAATAAATGTGACTGTGACTCACTTGTTGGGAATGAATATGAGTGCGTTTACTGGATGTTCTCTGATTATCCTTATGAGAGGGGCATAAGTATGTGCCCCTCATAAAAAAAAAAAAATGTGGTAATGTTTCTCAGGAGCCTAAAAGAGCAGTGTGAGGTTTATTTCTTCTTGCTGCACTCGGAAGTAGGTCTGATGGCTGTCATACGTGGCGTTTTTTTCTGGCAGCTTGCAAAGTAAAACACGTTACAACATAGTATTACAAATGTTCTCACTAAAAATCAATATTAGAATTTTGGAGATTTAATGAGAAGTTTTATGTGTCTAAGGTTTTTTTAGCTAGTGTATTTAGGTTGCTCTCATTTTGTGCTTTTTGATAGCTCTAGGTATTTTTCCAAGAATTATATAGGATGGGAAATTCTGACGTATGACATCTTTATTTGCCATTAGAGAAGGGTTTTTTGCAAGACCTTTTTAAGATAGTGCAGTAACTGATAAAAATCAAATCTAACTTGAAGAGGAAGTCTGGACTGATAAATGGAAGTGAAAGCTTGAGATAAAGCAGAATTGCAAATTTTCTTCAGTAAACTGATTTTGCAGCATGTGTATTTTGTATATCACATCCTTCACATATGTGATTTTCTGTCAGCCGTCAGGCATCTTATCCCAGGTATGCATGCATCATATAATATGAAATGAGAGTTTTTATGCTTGTGACTTAGGAGAGGTTTGCATAATTTCTGTTTGCATTCATATAGATTTGAAAACAGCATGAAAATGGGTGTGCACATGAAGCAATAAAGTGTCTTTTTTTTAATTGACTTAAGACAGGCTGGAAACTCTTAAAGTTGCAGCTGCATGGATCTTCAGTTTAAAGTTCATCTGTAGTGAACTAAGTTATCAATTCTGGCTGTTCTTTTAAAGCTGCTAATAAAATACTGCAATTGGATTAAAAAAATGCTGAAGACAAATGTTTAATTAAAACTTTGATACTATGAGGACGTAGAGGAATGAGTGTAACCGCAGTCAGGTGAATGCGGTCACTGACAGGAGCATGACTTCTACTGAAGACTAGCGTATAGCTACTTCCTTAGTGAATGCAGCTGTACTTCTGTCACAGCCTTAACAAGGTGGAAGCATTGCAAAACTTTTTTTATTCTTAACCCTATTTTTTATAGACTGTGTTTTTGCCTTTTGTTTTGGTGGTTGTGTTTTGGTTTTGGTTTTTTTTAAAGAACCACCAAATTCCACCTTGTGAGGCACTAGTAATTACACATGAAGCATGTTGTGTTTACTTGCCAAGTTTTTTTATTGTGAGCTTTAACTAATTAAGCATTTTGGGCATTGTCTCTTTTGGTGTCTGAAGTGCAACATGTCTGAGTAATGCCCTGGCCCTTTCTTCTTACTCATCTGAAATTGGGCTAGGAACTGAGGAATGTGCTTCAGTAGTAACTACAAAGCATCTGGTTTAGTCAGTGAGGTTTATAAAGACAAACAAGTAATATGTGAATAAAACCAAAGTTCAGTTTCCTTTCCTGTGACTGTAATGTACCCTGGATAGTAACGACGGACGGGATTGCGGTTTGAGGGTTTCAGCACTTAGATGACCATGATCTCTCCTTTTCTTTTGAAGGTACTCCTTTGTATGCTGCTCATTTCCGCCCAGGGCAGTACGTGGATGTTACTGCAAAAACGTAGGTTCTTAAAGATCTAACGTGTACAGTTCATCTTTCAAATAGACTGGTTGAAGTTTAGTTTTCCCCTCTGCTTTCGCTTTGAACTCATAGCTCACAAAAGCTGAAATACAATTGAAAGGGTAGTGGCAGGGAATAAAAGTCCATTCAGCCATTGGGTCAAAAATATCAAATTATCTGTCTTTGCTGAGGCTTACTTTTGATTTTGAACACAGTGGGTAAACAAGTGATACTATTAGGGATATGGTTCTGCATGTTTTGTCTGTCACACGTACATGATTAGCGTGGGAGGGCTTGACTAGCACGGGCGAAGAGGTCTATAATGCAGCGTCTGTGGTCTGTAGCAGTGGGGTTAAATGCTGAAAGGCCTCAATTCCCAGAAGGAAAGCTTAATTTTGATTTGTTGAAGAGAGGCAGAGAGAGATGTATCTGGTGGACCAAAAGAAAAGTAAAAAGATTGTGAATCCATTTAGCAGGACAACAGAGCTGTCAAATTCCTTCTTTTGTTTTCTGTCATATTCCGGCTCACCCCCTTGCCAGCAATGGCTCATGGTCTCTTACTTTAACGTGGGAGGAACGATTTCCTCTCAGACCATTGCGAATGCCAAATTAGAGCTCAAGTAGTAGAGGATGTCAAAAGAAAAACTTGCATCTCGCAGCAGAGACTAGTCATGCCTCTTCTATTACATCCGTGATTTCCAGTGCCCAAGAGAACTCCTACTTCCCTATTTGTGCGGTGTATTTTTTTGCTGTGTTGTGATACAAAGATAATGTTTTCCGTTTGATGTTTTATTTGATAATACCCAACTGGCCTTGTTGAAGCATCATCCTTTGTAATTGTCTCATGTACGTGTAATATTTATAAATGTCTAATATTATTCACAGGGCTTTGTATATATGGGGAAACTGACCCTACCAGGACAGCCGAGTGGTCGGTTCTAATGTAGCTACCCCTGCCTACACCTGTGAGGACACCCTGTTGGGGAAAAAGAGGTCAAGGAGTTGACTGGAATATAGTATTTTTCTATGTCAAACTTCCTTATGTAATACTTAGGGCTGTTGTATTATTCATTCTGCTTCTAAATTGCATTCAGCGGACAGCCTGTGAGAGACTACAGCTTGTTTGCAAAGCAGTGTCATTCCATGTCCATTAACTGTCAAGCTTTGTTAATGCAGAAGAGCTTTGTTTTTCTAGAAGTGTTTCAAGAACTAGGAAAGGGTTTTTTTGGCAATGCAAAAGATAACTCCTAAGCATCCACGGTGTATTGATTTGTATCTTGCTATATATATTTCAAAACACTTGCAAGCTAAAAATAGACAGGGTTCTTGATGGTGTTCAGTGAATGCATCCTAATTTTTAATTTGATATCTATTTTCTCAGATATTTGTGTTGTCCCATTTCAGAAATTAGCTTTTTGTTTGGGCTGCTGATTTTGGTAGCATATTACATGTAATTGTACATGTAATCAGGGGTTTTCTGTCAATATGATTCTCTAATCATTCCAGTTTTTCTATATCCGTGAGGTGTTTAACCTTTTTCTGTGACTTACTTGCATTCTGATTTCTACTTTTAGTGTTCCTTCTTAATTTCCACTTCTCTGGAATGCTGCATTTGTCAGATTCCCTTAACTCTTAGGCAAGAATTGTTATTTTACTACATTTCAGGGTTTTTTTGTATTCTACTTTATTCCATACCATTTCATCCAGTGCTGCTTAGTCTCATACTTGAGTGTTTACTGGAGGCTTGGTTTTTTTATTGTTTTTTAGAATTCTGTCTCCATCATTCTTAGTTACTGTATGTATAAGTACAGATTTCACAATGTCACAAAAATATCCAAGAAATTCTTCAGTGAAGGACAAAATAGTTATCTTGGGAATGATGATAGCACTGAGCTAGAGCATTTGGGCTGCACTGTGAGTTGAAAAATGAGCTTGCACTTCGTGTTAGACTTGTATTCTGAACCTCCCTCCAGAAGAGTCAGCTTCAAAGAGGGAACCTGGGGAGATTTGGTCCACAGGCTGAAATGAGCCTCTGTGCATTACTCTCGACAGTCCCATTTCAGAAGTGATGTAGGCACTTGAAAGATCCTGAGATACAGATCAGGGCGTTGTGAAAAGGTACTTCAGGATATAATGCTGGGTTGTGGTAGGGAACCCAGTTTGACTTCCTCTCCTTCTTCCCACAACTTCCGTCTTACTGAATCGAACCATTATGCACTTTTGCTATCACCACTAGTCAAGTTTTTAGAAATACTTTTGCATGAACATGTGCTTTACATTTTTAAGATTGTCAGTAATATTGTTTTACTGGAGGAAACGCTGAAGTGTGCTACGTTTGAAATATAGATGAGAATAGCAGTGCTGTGCTGTTAGTAGCATAATTAATTCTAATGATTTCCTTTAAAAAGGAAAGAAAGAAAACTAATGTCACGTCAATGAGGAGATAATATCGTGGAATATAAAGGATATGTTAATTTTTTACCAACTCTTAATGAATCAGATGAGCAAGATATCCTTTTGCATGCTTCTTTTGCCAAGACATAAGCCAAAAATATGCTCCCTAAAAATGAGTAAGCTTCTTTAGTTATCATAGCTTGGACAAAGTGTTTGCCCTACATTTCAGAACTCTTGGTCACCAATGTGTAGGGGTTTTTTTCATGACTGTCTGCTTTTAAACTTTCCTTGTAAATGGTTTTGTCAAAGTATTTTGAAATGTTTTGATTCGTTTATACCTCGGTGAAGAAAAACATTTTCACAGAAACAAGAAGGTTCAGTTACAGATGTATGCAATTTGCTTTTTCTCATTATCTGTTCTTTCTCATAAGTCTCATCATTTGTCCTGAGTAGCTTTTAGAGCACTGACAGTAGGCAGTGCGTCTGCATGCTTCTTCAGTCAGTCTTCTTCAGTGATGAATTTTTGCTGTAATACTTGACCAAATATGTGCTTGTAATATGTGACCAAAACACGGGGATGGGGAGAGGTGGGACTATGCTTTATGGTGGTAGCCCAAAGCTGCATGGAGATAGTATTGTATTGTATTGTAGGGCCTGTAGTGACAGGACAAGGGGTAACGGGTTTAAATTGAAAGTGGGGAGGGTTAGATTGGATATCAGGAAGAAGTTCTTCCCGGAGAGGGTGATGAGGCACTGGCACAGGTTGCCCAGAGAAGCTGTGGATGCCCCATCCCTGGAATTGTTCAAGGCCGGGCTGGATGAGGCTTTGAGCAACCTGGTCTAGTGGAAGGTGTCCCTGCCCATGGCAGGAGGGTTGGAACTGGATGGTCTTTAAGGTCCCTTCCAGCCCAAACCATTCTGTGATTCTATTATACCTCCTTTTTCTGCCACTTCAGGACCTCTTTCATGAACATCAGAAATTTTGTCACTCCAGAGGAGAAGCCAGCAGTAGTTTTGTTTGAAATGTGCCAGAATTAAGTGGCGATTCTGGTGTGTTTAAGGTTTATTTAGGCTTTGCTAGGTCAACGGTGTAGCCTGAGCCTGAAATCATGCTCTGAAATTGTCTGAAGTTCCTTACCTAAGCAGTTGGAATCTTTTTCACCTACAGCATCTAAATAATTGTCTTTTAAATTAGCTGAGTTTGAAGAGGTAGCAGCAAACTAAATTGTTGCTTAATTAACGTGCTTTATTCCAGTAGCTTTCTAAATGAAAGTTGGCTCATTAGGCACTGGCATTTTACTTGTATCAAACCTGGAAGATGTGGTTTCGTACAAAATTAGGTGGTTGACCTGAACAACTGCTTTCCGGCAGGTGAAACTAGAACAACTGTGTGTAATTAAACTCTATTTTTAATTCTACAGAAAGATTATTTTGCTTTCATTTAACATTTTTGCGCCTTAGTTTCGCATATCGTCACTGCTGCCTGTGAATCCTTTCTGGCACTCAGGTGATCATGCTTCAGTGGAGCTGACTAAATGGCTAAGTCCCATGCACTGAAGAACAGTGGCATTATGCATATCAAACCTAATAAACATAGGTCTTATGAGTGGGGTTTTTTGTTCAGATATGGTGTTTAATGCTACTGTTGTCAGAACGGAAGCGTATAGTCCTAGATTCAAGCCAAGCCAACGTGTAGAAGATGTCTTAGCAAGAAATAGCAACGGTGGAAGTAGGATGACAAATATTCTACTTTAGTGGTGATTTGGAGTGGAATCTAGATGCTAATTCGGTTTAATTAATATATGGTTCTGGATTAAGGTCCTGCTTTGACAAGCCTTAATGCTTTTTGAAGGTGCCTGAAGTTGTCAGTACTATGCCTATGAAGAGATTTTGGAGTTGCCCCTCTTCTTATCCATATTTTGAGTCTGTTCTAAGTTAGAATTGTATTATGCTTTTGTTTTAAAGATTTCACAGATTTGAATGAACAAGATGTAGTGGGATGTCAGTAGTTAGGACTTTTGTGAGGGAAACCAGGGATTCTTTTGATGGATTCTTAAATGAAGCTGTGGTGCAGATCATCATAAGAAAAGTAACTCCAGGGGAGGTACATGTTTGGTTGGTATCTTTTATACATATGTTGGCTAATACACATTTACATAGAACAGTGTATGTAATATACTAAAACCAGTATATAAACATATAGTATACAAAAATAGTGTGTATTGCATATATAATAACAATGTTTTAATCTTTTCATCTGGCTAGCTAATGTCAGGAAATATTTGTTGGAAATGAGCTCACAAGACTCTTTTTGTCATAAAAGATGCAGTGTTCTTTTTTCTGTTTCATTGACTTCTGCAAAATACTAATTTTTAGTTTCAGTAATTATTTTTCTTGTATTTTATTTATGATACTTGCTGAATGCATTCACACCTAGTAGTTTCTAAGAAGGGCAAAGAGGGCAATTAAACAATTTGACATTCTAAGTGATACTAATAGCTGACGTCCGTTCAGAAGTCAACAAGAATATTCTTACATATATTTGGTAATTTTTTTTACAGAATTAAAAAAGTTTAAGGAAACTGTAAACGGTATAAAACCTACTCTGATTTTCCACAGTAGTTCTTGAACAGCATGTGTCTTGTTTATATAAGGTGAATATTAGTTTCAAAAGCATTTTGCATTTCATACCATTGGAAGAATGCAGGATCTTTAGATTAGAAATAAATAGATAGGGTCATGGAAAATTTATTCATAATACTGGGATTTTTGCACATAGTAGAGAAATCCACTGCTTTTCTGAGAACAGATCGCAGTTGCATCCAGGTGGACTGCATTTGGAAAAGCACTGTTCTACCTATTAAGGTATATTGGCTGAGCTGCTAAATGTCTAGTTGAACAGTCCTTCTTTCTAAATTTGATTTAAACAGATGTTAGTAGTTCCTTACTTTATTTTAAACTTTACGTTTGATTTACATAATCCTGCAGTTTCTATTCTGGTTCCAGCTTTATGTCAGATAAAGCGTGAGTCTAGGAAGAAATATACACTGTCTCTTTAATTGCTTTTCATCTTGATGTGTTTAAAGAACATTATACATTGTTTATTCTTTTAAAAAAATCAAAAACTCCAAAACTAAACAAAACGGTAGCTTCTTCTTATTCAATTAATATAAATGGGTTTATTTTCTGTCATGGTGATCAGTGTGTCATGCTGCATAGAAAATGAATGTTAAAAAAACCCACGAGATAGTGTATTTATTTGTAGGTAATTCAGAGACCTTCAATCAGCTTTTCACAAAACAAAAGTGAAACTATTCTTTAACAGTATTGAACTAACAGGATGAAGGAACCTTGGTAGATAGTAAAGTATTATACACTACAAAGTACTCTAATTTCAGTATTGAGAGATCTTTCCTTAACTTTAGACAGAATATTTCAGGTGTTGGGAATTTTCATATTCCAGCTTAACAGATGTATGAGACTTTTCAGGTTTAGTGGAGTACTCTCTTTTGGCTTCAGTATTGTAAAATCTGAGTCTGTTCACGGAAAACACGTGTGTAATTGGGAGGACCAAGAAGTAGGTGAGTGTAATCTATCACATAAATCATTAACACTAGCAACTCTGCCTTGTGGTACAATCGCTACTTTCTGAAGATATCTTACAGCATTGGATAAAGTGAACTTTTTTTCAAAATGCATCTCTTACAAGTATTAACTACTTCTTATATTTTTTATTTTTTTTATTAAAAAGTACAGTTTAGAGTGTTCTAAATTCATATCTCAAACAAGCAATCTGACTGAAATATTCAAGTGGTTTCATGACATCAGAGATTTATGCTTCTTGATTCAAGTTGACAGTACTGTTGTCCTTTGGAATGGTAACTTTGGATGGTTGTATGGCTTTCTCTGAGCTGCAAGTACATTTCTGCAGCTAAAGAATTAATCGTGGCTGCGATCAGCTTGCTCAGGTAGCTGCACAGCTGTCGTTATGCAACCTACTTGGAGTTGGTTTTGGAGAGTTTGCTGATTCCATATTCCAGCTAGAGATGCCAGAATTAGTCGTCTTGGAAGACATGTACGACTACAGATAGTTTTGAATAAAAAAAATAGCATTTTGGTGGAACGAGTTTTCCTGTAGCTTATTTTCTGATATGTATCACAAAGTTATTAATCTCCTAGCAATCTGCAGACGTAGAAAAAGGCAAATTTTGAGCCTTCTTAAGATGTGAATTCTTTTTAAACAGTTTTTTATGACTAGCACTGCTCATTACTGCAAGCTTTCAAAATAAGCTGATTCATGAGAAACTGGCGTAACAAAGCCTTGCACCCTTTAGATTTCTGTCTTGTATTCCTGATCACAGGTAGTCCAGGTCCTCCTTCCTGCAGATGCCTTCAGCTCCCTCATAGCCCTGACCCTCTCCAGATCCCCGTGTTGCGCCGCGGTTGGCCTGGAAGGACTCTCTTGCTGGTGGCAACCACTTGCACGGCGGCCCGCTGGCAAGCCAAAGGAACGTGTCGCTGCTTTAGTCATGGCTTAGCATTTCCTTAGTTGGTTGTAGGAAAGGAGCAGAACAGATTCAGGACTTTCTAACCAACAATTTTGATTTCAAACAATTACATCTCATTCTTCTGTGCCAGATTTAACTGGAATTGACCACCAGGTTGTAAGCAGGGAAGGGGAAAACCAAGAGACGGACATCGTGGTTGCACTGGTCTTGTTTCCTTACAGTTCTGTGGCTTTAGAGAGTCTCTCCATTTGTGGCTGCTTTTGGCTGTGGTTTGATTTGCTGTAGGCAACTAGGCCAGCAGTCAGGGGAGAATTATTCAGGTGGAAGAGGAGAGAATCCAGTTATTGGGAATGTTAGTGTTTTCCTCATTTGTCAATTTTTTCTAGTTTTTAATGGCAGTGCTTTTCTGATCAGGGGAATCTACAAAATGTAGAAGTATAGGGTGTGCTGTATGCATGCTCATACCTGCTTTTATAGTCCGGTGTTTGGCCGGAAGGTTCTAGCGTTTGAACGAATAGGACCGTGACATTGCAAAGTGCATTAGCAGAGAGAGGATTTCTGTAAACTGGAGGAAAAGGATCATCTTGTTGAATTAATTACATGATCGGTGCAGCCATAAACCCTGTGGTCAGGCTTTTCCTCTTGGAAACAGACAATGCCAGTTTAAACACACACTTTAATCAGCTTTTCCTTTGTGCAGTGGTGAGGCAATTTTTCCTATTGAGTCTGTCCCTGCAGTAAACAGAGAATTCCAAAGCCAGTAATACCATCATGTGCCTCCAATATTAAGGCATGGGCTCTGCACATATGTTTTATTTGTTATTGAGATTTAGACCTTATTTTTCATATGGGTAAAGATTGAAACAGTTAAGTGTTTCACTACACATAAAACTGTTTTAAAGAGCTGTCATTTGGAAAAGAAGCATTCCTTGGTTTATTTTTATGCTTGTCTAAACAGCCTTCCTCTCTTGATGCTTAGGGCCTGTCGTTAAGTTTTGGTATGTCTTACTCTGCAGTTGCTTTTTATTCAGGCTTTTTGGTTGGGTTTTTTTGTTCTGGTGTGGTACCATGGTTCATCCTGGCACCACGTGTTGAGGGTTGTCACACAAAAGAGCATTTTGTGTTATTTTTTTGCCTATTTGACTCTCGTATGGTGCTTCTTATTCTGTAAATCAGCCTTTAAGTATTGCCCTAGAATATGTTTATGGTGTAAAATACAGATTTAAAAACAGAATAAAAACTCTTCTCTCTGCTGAGCTTTGCTAAAGGTAAAAAGATCATGAGCCTGACTGAAATTATTGGTTATTGCTAAAAACCTTGAGTCTGACTAACCCAGGTTTGTTTCTTCATTATTTTTCTTTTCAGAATTGGTAAAGGATTTCAAGGTGTCATGAAAAGGTGGGGATTTAAAGGTCAGCCTGCGAGCCATGGCCAGACGAAAACTCACAGACGCCCTGGAGCCATATCTACCAATGTGAGGATTCTTATGTACTGTTTAAACATTCTTCAGTATTTTTAGAACTGCTTACTAAAACCAAACAATTTCACAATAGCTACCTGTTACCATCTGTTCTGTGGTAGCAGAGAATCCCAGCTGTTTCAAAGGAAGTTCAGAAACCTATGTAATGAGCAATGCAGATAGCTGTTCTCTTAGCCCTCCGTTTATGAATATTCTATATTTCTGGCAAGTGAGCGAACATACTTTAACTGAGCAAACTGTGGTATTTTGTGGTGTAGCTGAGAGAAATAGTCTTAATGCTTCAAAGAGAGTTCTAAGAATCTTTTATCACAGCATTTATAGATTGGAAAGGATTTACCCGTTATTTTATACTGCAGATATTGTACTGTTCTTTGGAACTTTACTTGCTTTTATCACCTTGCCTGGCTTGTGTAGCTGCTTAATGAACTCTGATTCCCAAAATAGTTTGTTGGCTTCTAAACATTTTTAAGCAGAGTACAGAGTAGTATTTTTTAAGTTTCAAACTGTAAACAATACTAGTTTAAAACTTCTTTGGAACAGATTCATTTAAAACTTTGTCTCTATATAGGTTGCACAGTATCTAGTCTGAACTAAGGGGGTTTTTTTCAAACTAACTTTGTTATACAGAACTAAGATTGAGTCATAATACTGAACCTGAATTGTCTGTAACTTTCTTAGAGAAATTAAAATAAAAATTAAAAAAGGATTAATTCCTAAGAGAACAGTAAAAGCAAAAAGGCACCAGGCAATGAGGTTAGTGTAATTGAGATTGTAAAAACATACAGTACTGATTTATAGTTCTTCAGCTGGAAAATGAATTCTACACCTGACACTGTTTTCTCTGAAGGCTGAAGAACATAAATATTTGAACATACAACACTTTGTTTTAGCAGATAGTATTTGTCATTACAAAATAACCCCTCTTTTCTTTAAATTAGAATTCCTTAAGCAGTACTGCTGGACACAATTTTATAGAGTGTATAGAATGGGAAATCGTATTGGAAATAAGTATCCTGAAAAGGAAGCAAGGTGAAAGGATGCAGTAGGGGGAAAAACAATTCCTTGATTTTTATTTTCCAGTCTAGTGTTGACTACCCTGGATATTTTTGTAATCCTTCATTGTTTAGTATAGAATCCTGTCCCTAAGTACTTCGTTGCAGCTGTTTTCATGAAATAATGATTTTCATACAAGTTCTTTTAAAAAAAAATCATTAAAGAATAATAGAGTGGTGCAGAAAACTGAGAGAAACACCGTAGAACTGAAAATTATTGCATTTATTCCTGCCTTTTCTTTTCCACCTTTGTTCTCCAGGTTATATCCAAACAAACAAACAAAATCGGATACAGAAACTAAGCAGTATCAGGGACAATAATTGAAAATTCTGTTCTCAAAAATACATGCTTTACGAAAATCTGGTTTATATTAGTATAAAACTCATAGATTAGGGAGGAGGGAGAAGCTACAGTATATCTTCATTTTGGTGGCCTTCCAGGGCAGGACTGCTCTGGAGCTCTGTGGTAGCACCCACGAGTAGCTTAGGCAGGTTTCCAGTTGCGATGGTCTGTGATGTAGGTGAGAGTCTTGTGTTGACAGAGGTTTTAGGGAAAAAAAAACCCAAACTTAAGCAAAGCTAGAATTCCTTTCTTGATGTAACAGTATTCATAGCAATTGTATGATTAAGTATTTCAGATAACATGTAGAGTCATACCTCACCTCCAGCTGGAGGTATTTAAAATGCTAATCAATATTTCATGTTTTTAGTATTAGATATTTTCAACATTGGAAATGCCAGCATATTTTCTTTGGTGTGCCTCTGGGGTTTGTAAGTGTACCTCTTGCAGTTACGTGATTTTTTTTTTTTTTTGGCCCTGTTTTTTATCTAGAAAGCTGCCAAAGTTTATCGCGGAAAGAAAATGCCTGGTAAAATGGGTAACATCTATAGGACATCATTTGGGTTAAAGGTGAGTTGTGAGCATACTAGAGATTGTGTAAGGTGGTTGTATTGCCACACACTGGCCTTAGCCATGTAGCCTTGTGTCAGTGTACAGTCATTTCTGTCAGAATCCAGGCAGGAGCATCTTGAAGTAAGCAAGCTGGGAAGACAAGAGCAGCAAATGCGTGCTTCAGTCTTCTTGTGGGTTACAAATAAGTTACCTGAACTCCCTTTGCATCCATGTACCCCAAGAACTGGGATTTCGGGTGATACTCCCACATGTGAGGTGTTTTTCATTCTGGCCCTTGACTTTGCCTTTGAAGTGGGAAAACAATCAGGCTTTTGGTGACCTTCAATTAATGTGTTCATTCCTATTCCACTAGTTCAAATCCAACTGAAGTCCGAGTTGTTTGAAGTCCTAACTTTATCATGGTCCTTCACTTCCCTGTGCAAAAAGGGTATTGCAGTTTCTGTCTGGATTCTGATGTATGCATAGCTGCAGCAGTTCCTGGGCTATTACAGCGACTATTCTCTGTCTCTGAAGGTAACCTGTGCAGTTTGCACAAGAAGTGTATTAGCCTCTAGTTTGCAACAAAAAGGCTGCTGCTGCTCTCTGCTAGCTAAAGCTATTTTTTGGTGACAGAAAACATGAGTGTTCAGTTGAGCACCTCGTAGAATTAAGTAATGGTCGCAGTAACGGGACAAGGGGTGACAGGTTTAAATTGAAAGTGGGGAGGTTTAGATTGGATATCGTGAAGAAATTCTTCCCAGAGAGGGTGATGAGGCACTGGAACAGGTTGTCCAGAGAAGCTGTGGATGCCCCATCCCTGGAAGTGTTCAAGGCCAGGCTGGATGAGGCTTTAAGCAACCTGGTCTAGTGGAAGGTGTCCCTGCCCATGGCAGGGGGGTTGGAACTAGATGGTCTTTAAGGTCCCTTCCAACTCCAACCAGTCTGTGATTCTATGATAACATTGTCAGGAGCATATTTGTTTTAATTTGTCAGGTGTGATGTTTTCAAACTGATGCTGTTAGAGGGAAAAGAGATTTGGGAGCTTTGGTTGGTGTTATGCTGAACAAAGAGCTGCTTTACCAGATATAGTGTGATCACAAGCACTTTAAAACTGTTTAATAGACTCCTGCATTAGAAAGCTGTGCACTCAGAGTAGCACGTGACTGAATTTTGTGGCAGGTTTAGGCCTGTGCGAAACACTCTTCGTACCCTGAGTGCCACCTCCAGTTAGTCAGTCTGTGCTTAGCTGGACTAATGTTTGTAAAACTGGGAATAGTCTCTAAAACAAGCTCAATGTCTGTTTTTTTTTCCTGTCTCCTAGGTGTGGAGGATCAACACAAAACATGACATTATTTATGTAAATGGGTCTGTTCCAGGTCACACAAATTGCCTGGTGAAGGTAAGTTTACTAGTTTCAGTGTACTGCTGTTAGTGACTCCTAGGCTCTCTACAACTCTCTTCGTACAAAAGACAGAACACTGGTTGAATGCAATCTTCGTTTCTTCGGAGTCCCATCTTGCACTGCTGAATGAAAGGGGCAGTAGGTTCAGTTCTGTAAAAGGGAGCTGTTAATAGGGGCAGCGGGTCACCACTTACTCTAAATGGCTCATTCTTAGCTTTGCACTGGGGTTGTGCACCCGTGCAGTGTAAGATAAAGCAACACCATCGCTGTAACCCTGTGGTGTCACAGGGCTACATCCATCCCCTTTTAACACTAACCTGAGTCTAGAGCGTGGTGGTGCCTTTACCAGATTTTTACTTAAAGGCTGTGTTCGTGAACAGAAATACACAGCAAGCACTGCTTTAAAGGTTATTCAAAGCATTCCCATCCACAGGAGCAGTTGAGGTGTGGGAGGGTGCAGCTGGAGTTCACATCAATGATACGAGTTCCCTTTACAGTCAGTATAAATATGTCTGTCATTTTCTGTGGCGTTCTACAGAATTAATTTCAAATTCAGAAAAGTACTGTTAAGGTTTTTTTTCAAAATAGCCTTTTCTTTCTATTTAGCTATATCTACACATCTGCAAGCACAAATAACTTGGAGGAAGTTTATTTCTTTCAAAGTTAATAGGTTACAGAGTATCAAGCATCTTTATTACGAATTATTAGGAAGATTTTTCTTGTACATATACCTGTACATCTGATACATAGTTTAAAATCCTCACCTGTATTGTAGGGATTTAAATGACCCAGTTCTTGAAAAGTTAGAGAGTTCAGAAAGTTCAGGTGTTTTCAACTAGTTTATTTTGTTCTTGTCATACTTTACTATGGTCATCCAGTTTCTGGTATCTACTTCCTACTTGTGGAACTGAACTCCACAGTTACTGGGGACCAAGTAAATCAATCCCTTTCAAATTGGTGTTTTACACCCAGAAAAATGAAGTTTGTTGTGTTTCTTTCCTTGTAATTAAGACCTTGAGTGAGGTGTCTCTAAACTGCTTTGGTTGTAATGTCCAGCCCAAGCGAAGAATACGTTGTACATTTCTTTTCCAAGATAATGAAAATCAGCTAATCAGACGTCCAGGAAAAACAGTTTTCAGGATAACTCTTACAAAATTACTGAGCATGACATCAGTGACAGAATTAAGACTGTAGCTTGACTGGCTTGACTGCCCTTTCCTAGGCTGGAAAGCATCCCCCTTACCACCTTGGATTTACTGTTTTTGTTCTGAAAGCGGTCCTGCTGTTAGCCCAGAAGGATCCTTGGGGCAGCAGTACTGCCACAGTCAACACCCTTGTTAACAAAATGTGGCTGGGCCAAGCCGTCTGAGCAAATGCAGTAAAACAACTGCGCTGACACCTGTGACGTGACGAGGATATCGGACCTTGATTGCCATGGCAGTCTCCTGCGTGCCACTTACCTGCTTCTCATGTCCAGGGGTGGTTTCTGTGCAGTTCGCTCGCCATGGATGATAACTAAACTTTATCCTACGACCAGAAGTTAAAACTGCTCCACTATGGATTTGTTTTAAGTAAACGTAACGTTTTCATTGCTAACAAGTGGCAGAAGGCACTTTTTTGACTGCTTTACTAAGCCTTGTACGAGATGTCTACAGATGTAGGGTCTGTATGAATTGTATTTGCAAGTTCCCTATGGATGAAAATGTTTCAAGTCATAGTTACCTGCAGTTTGGAATTCCAAGTATCTTCAAGTATGTGTTTCAGCGTACACGTTTCAGAATTGGGGCTAATTCCATTGTTAGAAATGAGGGTTAAGGATCCATGGGAAGGATGAGGGATTTCATCCCTTAAAACTCTTTGGTGAACCTAATGCAATATGTGCAAGATCTTGATCAAAATGCTCCGCACTCAGACTTTCATGGCTTTTTAGTAATAAATAATGCTGGTTTGAGATGAAGGTATGCTAGTAGGTTTTATTATTGTTAGGAAACAGGTTTTACAAAATTGTTTCCACTCACGTATTTGGTGTTTGGAGAGAGTCAGGAACAGTTTGTTCTAGTTCTTCGAGCTGGTGAATCCATTCTGGGTGGTTTGGGTTTTTGTGTGGTTTTTTTCTATAAGCCATAGGAACTACATGTATTAATTAAAAAACCTTGCCTTGCATTTGAAAATACATCTCTGAAGAGTAGAGCTTTAATGTAAAAAGCGTGCAAAGCATTACTGTTCAGCGTGTGTTCTCTGATTTCTGAGGTTTTTACTCCATGTAATCTTGCTGCACTCATCTGTAGTATTTTTAGCTTGTGTCTTGTGCCTTTTTCTTCTAGGGTGTTTTCTTGTTTGCATGTAGACTTTGACATCCTGTGTATCCTTGTATATTTGTTTGGATCTGTAGTGGGGGAGACAAGTTATGGCATGTTAGTATTCATAGGTACTGTTCATTCCACTAAATCCCTGCCTGTGATTAGGTGGGACTAATGTCTAGTGGATCCATCTGTCTTTGAGCTGAAAAAGTGGAATATCACATAATCCTTGTCTCTCCAAGAGGAAGGCACTGGTGTTCAGTGCCCACTCTGTGTTGCTTGGTAACCATTAAAATCACAGTGCACCTTGAAGCATATTATTTATTTTGTATGTTATGTATTTTTGGAAACTTAGTGCATCAGCACTGTATCCAGACTGAGATGAAGCACTTAAATTTTTCAAGTTTCATTTTCAGCAGAAAAAGTGCACAATAGGAGGATTGATGGATTCCTGGTTTAATTAGAAATCGGGTTTCATTTTATATTGCACACTGAAGCATGCAGGTAAATAACTGACATAAGTAATGTTTCTAGCCAACTGGAAAACTAATCAAACAAGCTTACTTTACCACAGATTTCTTTCTGAGTGACAAGGTCTAATAAAATGAAGAAACTTTAGCACTATGCTGGAACGTATGGAATTTTCCTGTTCTGAGTAACATGGCAGAGAAAGCATCTGTGAACTATTGTATGGTGCCTATCACGATAGCTGACCTTAGGTAATACCTTTTCTCTTGGTTTGCCTTGGATTATAAGCCCTGGAGTTAGTGTACATGGTGTTGATCCTGTAGAAAAACACCATTGGTTTGGGGTTTTTGGGGGAGGGTTGTTAAGACAGAATAAGGCTGGTCAGAAATTAATATAGTCTTGAATTCAGTTTGCTTTTTTTGAAGCGAGACAGAACAGAAGCTGAGCTAGGTAATGCAACATACCTGAGGAGATAATTTCTAACATGCTACGTATTCAAACACATTTTCCTCTTTAGCAGACAACTTGCATTCTTTGCTGTGGTTGCTAACGCAGCCCGAAGCCCTGTTAAACTGCAGGTGTGAGTTGTGGTGTGAGCATCGAGTTGTGATGCCTGTTTAAGACCACCTGAAGTATTTTGTGCTGATGGATTTCTGAATTTGTGGTTGTTTATACCACCTATTATGCTATCAATATATGGGATGTGTATAGGTGCAGTTTTTTAAGTGTCTGCAAAGCCCTTTATGACTGGTTTAAAGATTTAGTGACAAAATCCCAACCAGCTCCAATTTCAGCTTTCTCTAGTATATTTTTCCTCAATAAAAAACTTCACAGAGAATATATTGTGGTACAGATACACAACTATATACACTGTCTGTCTACAGCACAGTGCACTGCAATACACAGCACTGTTAATACAGCAAGCCAAGTGTTTATGTTGTATTGAGTTACACAGTGGATGCTTTTATGGGTCGTAATAACCAGCTGGGCTCTCAGCCCAATTCTTTTTGTGGGTGAGAGCTAAATTCATGGGATTTTAGTAAACCAGAGCATTAAAACTTATTATGTCATGAGGTTCCTCTTTTTTTTCCCCTCTCTTTTTTTAATCTTTATTTTCTTTTTTTCTTCTTTTTTTGTCTTCCCCCACCTCTCTTCTTTTTCTTTTTTTTTTTATTAATATACTGAGTAGGATCAGTGCTATCCATTGTGATCAGATCAGATTTATATTAGCAGGAAACCTGCAGAAAAAAATACTTGTTTAAAGTTTAATGATGACACATCCAAGATTTTGAGCTGTAGACATTACTTTTTTTTCTTAGGGCCTAAAAGCAGTTATGAGAGAAGTTTGTGTATTCATTATTTGTAACCTTACTGTAAAAGGTTACCAAAGCAATTGCTTGTAATGCAGTTTCAGCATGGACTGATGCTTGGGGAGGAAGGAAGGGCACAGTTGCTTGGTACAGTTTTGTGTTCTTTGCTGTGAGGCGTTGTTTTCATAGAACCCTTTGGTATCCCGAACTGGAAGGAACCCATAAGTATCAAGTTTTGGAGCTTGGGGTTTTAGACTCCTTTGACACCTTTTTGACTAAGGTGAAACATTCACTGGCAGTTTTTTCCTTTATTAGGGATGCTCTCAGGAGGTTGCTGGGAGAACAGGAAGAGCAGTGCCAGGTCACACGTACTTCTTGTCCGTGTACACGCTTACACAGACAGGTGTGACTGCTGCTGCATACCATTTAGTTCCCTTAATATATTTTGATATTACTGTGCAGGAATCTGGGGTAACTCATACCGAAAACCTTTGGTATGCTGCATCCTTCATAAATGTAAAGGAAGTAATTCAGTAAGACAGATAAATCATTCCATGTTTTAAGCTGGTAATAGGTACTTTCAGATATAAAATAAAATGTAGTTCTTTATTTTGATGGAATAATAATAATGCCTAACAACTTTTGAAACATAGAAGGGAGCATGTTGTTCAGACTGGTAGTGATGCTCTGAGATGGTGCTTCGGGAGTAGAACTTCCGTTACATTTGAAAGCAGTGAGTGTAGAAGGTGATGGAAAAAGAGCTGTAGTTTTCACCAGTCAAAAGAAATACTGTGTCAATTATACCAATCGAATGAAAGCATATCGGAAGAAAATAATTTTAACGGATGTCACTTGTGCTTCTGGGATCTGTCAAGCTGCTGAGCCATTTGGAAGGGGCAAAATGAAATGGTACTGTACTCCTCTGAAAGCAAAAATGATCTGTTGAAGATGTTTCAGGAGAATCTGCTTTGAGAATTCTCCTTGTTGCACAAGAGGCACAATCTGCCAAATGCCACTTAACATTAATATGTAAAAAAGTAGTGGTCAGGCTTAACAGAAGTCTTACATTTATTTAGATAAACTAATACAGGACAAAGATTAGGCTCTTGGGTGTGCCTTCCGTTAAAAGCAGTCTTCAGGCTTACTCCAAAGCCCTATGATAAGAAGTTGCTTTAAGAAAAGAAAAAAAAAAAAGCTTTCACTTTTCAGGTGTCCAAAACTGCCTGTAATGGCACGGTATGTATGTAACAGCATGTTATTTCATGATGAGAATAATCCAAAATAACAAAAAAGTAGACATGACAAACAATAAAATGCATATGAAATAAATAAGTTATTGGAAATGAAATTATTTATTCTCATCTTCCTAATATTATTGTAATTTGTGTAGAGACCATGGGGGTGTTTGCTGTTGACAGAGGTGGTGATGTGTGATGAGATTGGAGAGTAGAAGAGAAAGGGACGAGGGAATAATAGGTAGCCAGTGAAGTTATTAAAACATGTTTTCATACAGAAAACGACAGAGTAGCAGCATACTGAGGAGGAAGGACGACTTCTCAGCCTCAGCAGTTCAGGTGGCACCGTTGAATATCTCTGACTGTTTCCTCTGAACTCACTGTTGCAGCAAAGCTCTTTGGACTTGGACCTCAGCCTGGTTTATTCCAGCTAGATATGTGCTGAAAATTGCTCCCTGCCTGGACTGTGGGCGCTTCAGAGTTATGTGTGGCAGTCTGCAAGTGTCCTAGCAGGGAGGTGTCTGCTAGAGGAGGTATGATCTACTCAGAAAGCTAAGTAGCCCCCCTAACCAATACAATGTGTTGAGCACTCCGTCCCCTCATTCTCAGCAAGTTTATCAAGCCTGCAGTTAGAAAACTGTTGGAACTTCCTCAGGAAAAAAAAAACACCACACCTACGAAAAACCAGCAACAAAACACAGTTTTTCAGAAGCTGAAGTTTAAGTCAAATTTATTGTGCACTACTTCTGCAGGAATCCTCGTGGACTTAGGGAAAGGCTCAAGTAATAGCAGATATGAATCTGGTAAATATAGTGCTGTCAGAACAGAGCTGTCAGTGGGCATAGAATTGTTTAATTTCTGGTGTAAATCACACTTGTCTTATGTGAGGTTTTTGTCCAGTGTAGTAAGAACAAGCTTCCTGTTCTTTAAAAACCCACCAAAAAAAAAAAGAGAAAGAGCTTATCTTTCCGATACTAAAATTTTGTCTCATCTATTTGTACTTTTGGGTTTTTAATTCGGTTGAATATAGTGGCTGAAAGGGATTATTACAGCTCAGGAGAAAGATCGTATGTAACAATATAGAAATGAAGAATTTCATTTTAAATAAAATTTCATCGCTTGAGAATTTGTAGCTCTTTTTTTCTTCAGAGATACCAGCTTTCTATCTTCTCCAGCAGACAAACTGCTTTTTGCTGATAATTCTAGCTACTAATTTTCTTCAGAGATTGGAGTTTCAGGGGCTAGATTTTAAATCTTTTCACATGTAGAGAGGTCAGTAGAGGAAAGTTATTTCTCTGTAGTACTACATTTCTGGGAAATTAACTTTCTTAAAGGCTTATACAAGTATAAACTTGGGTACTGATTCCTGGGTGGAGAATTCTAGATGCTTAGCCCTGTAGTCGCTGAATAGCTCTGCAGTAGCTGGAGGAGCTGAGCAGAGCACATGCACATATCTTTGCAAAATTAGTTGCCATAATTAGTTGATGTCATAAATACAAAGGCATGTCTTGGTTGTTGAAGAGGTGATTAAACAGCATATTATAACTTGATATGTAGGAAAGGAGTGTGGGATATAAACAGTTTAAAGAAGCCATACTTACATGCATTTATTTTAATAACATTTTAAAATCCTGAACAACAAATTCATGAGAGTAGGGTTTGATTCTCTCACAGTATGATACAAGTGGTAAGTTCTCTTTGGGCTTGTTGTTTCTTTTGCAGTTTTTTCTTTAAACTCCTTAATGATGGGTACAAAATGTTAAATTCAGTAGCTGGGGTTGCTATTTAGATAACTGATGATTAAACATGGAATTCGTTAGATAAACAAGGGTAATGTGGATGCTGTTGGGGTTTTTTTTGGCTGTTGTTTGTTTGTTTTAATGCATGCAAGGTGATTTCTTTCATTTCTGGTATATCACTGTCTTCTGGGGGATTTATTAACCCCACCTTTCCCCCTCCTGCGTTTTAGGTGAAAGATAGCAGACTGCCAACTTACAAGGACTGCAATAAAAACCCTCCATTCCCTACATTTTTTGCTGATGGAGATGAAAAACTACCAGAAGACTTGTATGATGAGGAGATTTTCCAGTTCACGGATCCATCTGTCACGTACACATAATTCTTCATGTCTTTGGAAAAAAACCCCACAGTTTTGTTGTTTTCACGAACTTTGTGATGCTGTTGAAGAGTAAACGTAGGAATTGCAGTCTGGCCAACTGACTTGAACACTTCAGATATTGCTGTTCTGGCCAGGTAATGAGATTTACCGCTGGCAGTTTCAAACCTGTATTTAGAGCAGCGGGGGAGCTGGAGGGGCAGGTTCTAAAGCACACCAAACAGGTTTGCTACAGTGATCTTTCCACAGCCTGTGACAGAGGACAAAAGTTACGCATTGCTGAAAAACTGTTGTTTTGAAGATGGTTCCATTTGATTTTCTAAAGGCTACCAAACTTTGTTTTGTGGAAAGTATTCTGGCTAACTCTGATCTTCAAAAAAGCCGTTTCAAATTTGCTTTGGCGTCTAGGGGATAGATAAATCTGATGTGAGTCCAACTCTGTGAAGCATAATCCCGAATAAAACAGGAAAAAACATTGCTCTGGAGCAGCACGAGCTTGGTTTGTTTCCCTCTTTTCACCGGAGCTCTGTCTCTCCTTTTGCTGTTGAGCTTAATGTAACAGATACCCAACAAATTTCCTAGAGGAAAGGGGATGCCAACCGCTGTCTGTTTCCGCAGGGAGGTCTGGCAGGGTGTCTGGTGAGGGGGTGTTCGGATGGGAAGGGTTCACTAACAAAGTGGCACTAAGACTGCAGCGGCCACCTGTTTGTCGCCTTCGCTGACAGCGTGTTCCAAACTTCACGGAGGATCCCTTGCATGATCTCTGGAGAAATGCCTGGCATCTACTGTCGTCTCTGTATTGGATTCGTATGCTGTTACAAAGAGAACAGGCCAAATGTGAAGGATTTCTCTTCATGATAATGCTTATTTTTCTTCTGCCCCACCTTTCAATAATCAATACGCTCCTTTTATTTTTCATTACAGGGTTTACTGTTTGTAAGCATGATCTTTTTGAATGCTGTAAATCCTCTGTCGTAGAGAAGCAAGTACCTGCACAACTGTCAGTGCCATCCGAGTGCTTGCTACAAGCCCTGCAGTAGTTCAAGAATTTGCATATACTGAGCTACACTTAATACTGTGGCACTGCTGTCTGCTTGTCTTGGCAGCTTCATCACAAGGCATCAGATATCTAAAGCAAATACGAGATATTTAAAGGCTTTACTAGCACTGTCCAGTTTAAAAGGTGATGTCCTTGTCCTCATGGCATCTCTCAGTCACTGAAGAGGTTGAATTCTTTCGTAATAGTTTGTAGAAAACACATGCTATCTTAAAGAGACTGTATATAGGTACTGACTTAGAGCAGACTGGGAGACTTCATTAGAGACTGTGCTGTGGAAATGTGAACTGGTAGGTATCTACATTGTAGGGTATCCTCTTAGCTGGATTCAGTCAAATTAAAAATGCGATTCAGATGCTGATTATTCATCAGAATGCTGAGTAACGGAACCACCTTCATGCTTCCCCTTCTCTTCAGTAACAATGGCTCCGCAAGTGCAGACATCATGCACAGCAGATGTGAGGCAAAAAGCTCATGTGTGTCACAAATACCCAGTGGGATGTCATGTTTTTGTGATGCTAGTAATGAGGGCAACCTGTCGCCCGTTCCGGATAGTTGCCATTACCTGAAGAGGTGTTCCATCTCCTGAAAACAATAGATTTTAAAACTTAGAGCGTTTCAAGTGCTGTCCAACACGTGTAAATCTGGCTGCGTCCAAATGAGTAGTCTGCTGTCCTGCTCTAGTTTATGGGATAATTCTGGCACACATGTGCTTTCCTTGAGGGGTTTTGTTGGTGGTGGTTGGTTGGGGTTTTTTACTTAATTGGTAATGATCCTGGACTGTCACTGAGTTGACCATGTGGAGAGTTGCTTACTCCTACTTGGTTTCTCAGCTGGAAGTTCCGGGACCAGGATCCTCTCCTATAAATTGTTATATTTTGGGTTTGCTTTCAGTGTATGCCTTGGAAAGCACCAAGAATCAAATGTGGGCTCAGAGGGACCCGCAGCTTGAAGAAAAGTAAATTAAAATTAACTCTGTGTCAAATGAAATTTCAGCTCAAGGAGAAAATCGACAACCTGCTTTAATTCCTGTTTCTTTGGTGAGAGAACTCCCCTTTTGGCATAAACTGTGAAATTCCAGTGATCTGATCATCTTCCTTTTTTTGCTTCATTGTCTGGGGAAGGACTGCAGCCGCTGAGGGAATTCTGTAGCTAATGTTGCTTTCCATTTGTTTAGCTCTGAAATTTCTGTGGAAGCCCATATGCTGTCAGAGTAGGCTCTGCAGCCGTGCTTTTGAGGCGCGTGCTGCATGTGAGCCGTGCGGTGTTTGCCACACGCTGCCTTTTCAAGTAGGCGTTGGTCTCGTTTTTCTCGAGATGTACAGGTGAAACCTTTCCCATCTTTGTTTATCCAGAGTGCTTGGGCAATAGAGACAGGAGCTTCCATAGCTCGAGTAAAGACGGACATCCTGAAGGTCAGTATTTTCTGTAGAGCGGATGCAGATAGATGGATTGATGTGAGCTCAGTCACGCAGTCCAGGTTGGAACACAAGTATCTGTTGGACCTGTTCTTCCATCGGGCGTTGGAAGGCTTACGGTGTCTTGCATTTCATTTTCCATGCGCTCCCCATCTCTCTGCCTCCTTTTCTGTCTAAGGAAGGGACTTTGTGCAGGAGAAAGGCAGGCTCGATTTATTTCAAGGAGCAGAATTGTTCAGGGGCGTACTGACACCGAATGCTTTAAGCCCACCTCCGAGTCTGTTCTTGGAAAAGGCCAAGGGTGCTTACTGAAGTATTTTTAGATTTTATCGAAGGTGCCAGAACCGACTGTTTGTTCTTTACTCCCTCAGCATGGCTGAAGGTTGTTGTGCCTTAGTGAGCAGGCGTGCTTTTAAGAGTCAAATACAAGCAGACTAAATTAGGCAAATATCAAGTCCTTGTGTCTCGGATGAGCCAAGAGTTTCTTGTGCTAAGGGAATTGGTCATTCTTCTCAAAAGGCCAACCAAGGGCTCTGTTGCAAGTAGATACCTGTGTGTTTTGTTGCTATTCCTGAGTATTGAAAGTTTAGAGCCACCAGGGAACGTACGCCCAGGCTGCAACACCAGCAGCAAAAAGCAGTTCTTATTCCATGTTATCTGTAGATTATTAAAGAGGAAGGAGCTGAACATGTTACCAGGAGTCTGAGTCCCATAGGACAACATCCTGCCCAATGTTGTGGCCTGTTCCTTCCGAGTCCTTGGGCTGGTAAAGGGCCTGTGCTTTCCCTAGCATGTACCAGTTTGCTTTGTGATGCTTAAAAACCGTAAGAGGATCCAGCAAAAAGCAGGAGTGCTTTTAAAGTCCTGAGTGCGAGTAGGTTTATTGTGTCCTCTAGTACCATTCTAGCAGGAAAGCTGTGTGCAGCTCTCCTCTTGTGTTTTCTGGCAAAACACTAACACACCGGTGCCCGTACGGCCTGGGAATTTGACTGTGCCTGGAGCTGCCCATAAAGGTGACGCAAAATGCAGATTCCAAGCAGTTCCTTCATATTTAGCCCTTTTTCTGGAGGCATTTGCGACTCTAAGGGCTGTGGGCGAGGTGCTGAGCTGGGATTTGCATGTCCAGAGCACGTTACACCCTCCTTAGACTGTTCTGTTTGTTTGGGTTGGTGGGGTGGTTTTAGCATCACTATCCTGCTGCTTGGGAGGAGGAGGCAGGGTAAAGCTGTAGCTGTATCCATGGCTTCATGGCGTGACTGCTTTGAAAAATAAATACTCTTGATTAATAACCCCTCTCAGTGGTTCTGTAATAGTCCATGAATAAACAGCGGCAAGCTTACAATATAAGTTGAAGGTAAAAAGAGAGCAGGAAGAGGAAATCAAAACACTCATCCGTCACTTGACAACATAATTGCAGTCATTGATGATAAACAAGGAGAGTTTATTTTTCTTGAATCCATACTTTTAAATACCGTTGCTCTGTCATTATGTGAGACTGATAAACATTTTCCTTTGTTATTTTCACTTGGTGCGAAAAATGTCGTTCTGCTGGCATTTAACAAATACTATTCTAGTAAGTTGAAGGGATGACAAGAGTTTATAAGTAGAATTTTACCTTCCTCCACCTTCCATGTGGATTTTGGAGCCTGGTATGGCCCCAGCTTTTCCTGAAATCACTGTTTCCTTCCTGAATTCTAAAAAATTCTGGCGGACTGAAAGAAGACCGGTTCCAGCATCAGCTGGGAGGGAGGCTGACCTGCCTCCGCAGCACCTGACACCCCAAACCACCAGCTTTGCACTGGCAGGCGGTGCGGAGCAGGCGAGTGCATCGGTGCAAGGCCCGTACCGGTGCATCCCGCACGATGCCGAGGTAATTACTGTGTAACAGGAGTTGCTGGCCCAGTTCTAGGGTGTTCGTAAAGTCTGGCTAATGGTGGGGGGATGGGATTTCCTGTCGTAATAACCACAGTGAGGACAGTGGTGGGGTTCATTCATTTTCTGAGTGCTGTGTCTAAATCTTTTTGCGGGGCTTGGATCATTCTCTTGATTTATGTCATTCCCATGCCTCCTTGAAATTTCATGTGGGAGTGCCTCAGTTTTGTAACTGTAAGCATTACTTGTACACTGTCTTCTAATAATTACATCCTGTGCCCTTCAGTGCACAGATAGTGCATATTAATTGCGTTTAATGAGCATCTCTCACCTGTGCCAAGTTGCCCTGTGCTGTTGCACACCTTGGTGTGTAACATAGCATAGCGTGGTTTATTTATACAACACCTGATGGCACTTAACAGCTGCAAAAACATGCAAAAATGCTGACCTTGATCTTGGGTATTTATTAGTTTTTGGAGAAACTTGCAGTTTCTGGTGAAGGAATTTAAGTTGGTTATGTGCAGCCTTAACGTTACCAGGGGAGAAAGAGGATTTCGTTTTGGCCGTGTTTGAAGCGTGGCAGCAGAACGGGCAGGAAGCTGGCGGGTGCTCCCGGGGGCTGTGTGTTGCAGCAAGGTGCGGTGTCGAGGAGTGAA